TTCTTTCTTTCTTTCTTTCTTTCTTTCTTTCTTTCTTTCTTTCTTTCTTTCTTTCTTTCTTTCTTTCTTTCTTTCTTTCTTTCTTTCTTTCTTTCCCAATCCTGGAAACTGTTCCTGAGCTTCTTTTGCTCAAGGCCAGCACTCTACCACTTGAGCCACATTGCCACTTCTGCTTTTTCTGCTTATGTGGTACTGAGGAACCGAGCCCAGGGCTTCATGCATGCTCGGCAAGCACTTTACCACTAAGCCACATTCCCAGCCGTGTTATTTCTTTTTATTTATTGATGTTCTATTTTTTAAATTATCTTTAAGTAGTTGTTCAAAAGGTTGCCATTTAACAGAGCAGTTTATGCATAAAATGCATCTTGATCAATGCCACCCCTTTTAGCATTCTATTTTCTTATTTTTGATGCTCTTTTAAATAATATTTAAGATTGATACTTACATTTCGAAATGGCTCTATGCTATAATAATATAATTGATGATTTGGGATATTGATCCTATATCCAAAAATTCAATGTTGCTCATCTTACTGTTATACTATTTAGAGTTCAGAGAGTTTCTTCTCTCTTTCTACCGCTGAGCAATGATCCCAGCCCTAAATTCCATAGATTTTTCTATGCAGAAATTATATTGCCTATGAATGATAGCCTGACTTCTTCAATCCACCTGGTGTATTTTTCATATCAAACTTTTCACTCTTTATAAGTTAACTTGGGTCTTTTTCTCATTTTCCTCATCTGTATTTAATCTTCTCAATCTTCTTCCTTCATGAGCATCGAGAACATGACTATAATAACTATTTTCTTAGCCTTGTCCACTACTTATGTCTTATATGTCATTTTTGGATATATTTCAATCTATTTGTTTTCCTCTTCATTATTTTTCTCTTTTCTTGCTTGCCTGGCAAATTGTAAAAGTCAAACACTTAGATGCTGAATATTTTTGTATTCTCATAAATATTATTGACTTTTCCTCTGAAGTGCAGTTATCTTACTTGGAAATACTTTGTTGTTTTCACATATTGTTTTTAAGCTTCATTAGGCAGGCCCAGGGTAGCATTTATTCTAAGACTCATTTCTCCCAACTCTTGAGACAAAATTCTTTGAGTCTATCTACCCCCACAAACGATGAAGTTTCTATAGTGCCCCTTTGTAAATTCTAAGATCAATATCATTGATCTTGGGGACATTGTCCCCTCATGTATGTACTCTGACATGAACTCAGCTGAGGGTCTACGAAGGACTTTAGCGAGTGTGTGTGTGTGTGTGTGTGTGTGTGTGGCGTTGTGTTTTTCTCCCTCTCTTCCTCAGTCTGCTTGTAACCTTGACCTCTCTGATTGCAGCAGTGAAGGCAGCCCATGCTCCCTGGGCTCCCTGTCTTGCTCTGAGACCTGGATAGTCTCCCTCGCTAGGGACAATTATAAAACTTACATCATTTTTCTTTTTACAGGGGCCATTGTCCCTCACTGTCTAATATCCAATGTTTGTGTTTGTTTGTGCCAGTACTTGTGCATGAAATCAGGGCCTCATCACTATCGCACCAATGGCACCATAGCTCCATTCCCAGCTTTTTGGTGGTCAACTAGAGATAAGAGTCTCTTGGATTTGTCTGTCAGGGCTGGCTTTGAACTTTGATCCTCAGAGCTCAGCATCCTGAGTAGCTAGGATTATATGTGTGAGCCACTAGTGCCTGGCTCTGATGCTTTTAAAACCTTAATTTCTTACATCTGTTCTATTTTATTGTTCTTGGTGGGATGATGAGTCTGGTCCCTATTAATCTGTCTTTTCTAGGAATGCAAGTTTAAGCTATAATAGTTTTCAAAGTCTGAAAATCTTACCACAAACTTTAAAAACTTCTAGGCATAAATATGATTTTGAGAGAATAGGAGAAGAGCAAAACTGTCTTTGGAGATTTGAGACAGTGTTATTTTGAGCTCTTAATTTTTTTTGAGCTCTTAATTTTTTGCAAAGCATAAAACAAAAGAAATAACCTGAAAATCAGGTGGGTACCACACATTCCCTAGTTCAGGGCTCAAAGAAACTCTTGAAGCTACAGGAGACAGGACTTACCATATTATATACATAGCTGGCAAAAGGCAAATTTGAAACTCAGGATCAGGCCAATAGATGCACTATTCCATGATTATTTGTTGATAAATTCATTTACTGCTTACAATTTACATCCTCCAAACCAATACTTAATGAGTTTTTGTGTGTATGGACACTCACAGAATGGTGGACGTTTGAATTACTCAATGTACATATTCCTAACCAAAGTCAAACAAGGTGATATTCTTGTTTCAAGGCCACACATTCTAGTTCTTTCTCAGGGATGGTGCACTCCCACATGATACATGCCTGGCTTTTTGCTTGTTAAAAGTCTGTCAGGTTTTTCTGTCTTTGCTGGCTTTGCACCATGATCCTCCATGCCTCAGCATCCTGAGTAGCTAAGATTACAGGTGGGAGCCACCAGTGCCTGACTTGATTTTGTTGTTGGCTTCAAATAGTGTTCCTAAGTGCAAGAAGCTGGTGAGTCTACAGAACTACTTAGCTGAGCCTTGGGAAGGCAGGAGTCAGGTGCTGTGGTCCAGTGTTAAAGGTCAATGTTAAAGAGTAAACATTGGTATGTTTAAATAAAATGCCTTTAAAGAGAAACAGTCAGGAAAAGGCATATATATTCATTAAAATGTGGTGATGAAGGCTTATAAGAACCTAGCCTTCTATTTCCTTAATGACTAAATGTTCAGTATTCACTAATTCAGTGTTTGAGGGTAGTTCATAGACCACAACTACTAGAAATAACAAGAACTGATTGTATTTAATATTCCTTTCTACCAAGAAATCATGAGTTGAGCACTTAAAAGATGCTGTGGTTCCTATTCCTCCTCCTCCTCTTCCTCTGTCTCCTTTTTCTCCTCCTCCTCCTCCTCCCTCTCCTTCTCCTTCTCCTCCTTCTCTTTCTCCTTCTTCAAAGATACATGTTGGAGTTTGTAAGTAATAATACATTGATAAACTTAACTCCTGTCCAACCACTTCCCAGTCAACTCTAGTACACAATGAAGAGGTGAATTTTATTCCTGTGAAGCCAGGAGTTTGAGTTCTGTTTTCATTTTTCCTTATTCTGACAGGTACTAGCGCCAGACTTTCTACTAAGCACACAAATTTTGAGGAGAGAGTTTATGAGATCCCCATCCGCATCAATGACGGGGGTCGGCCCCCCTTGGAGGGGACTGTCTCTTTATCAGGTAGGTACTTTGCTATTCTGGATAGTCGCTGTACCATGGGAAGTTTAAGGAGCTTCTCACCTTTGATGTGGGATTCTCTTCTCTAGCTGTTCACTTGAACATGTATACTACCAAGTATGTTTCTGCTTTTCAGTGACTTTCTGCAAGTGTGTGGAAGGAAGCTGCTTCCGGCCAGTGGGTGAGCAGGCTGGGATGCCCACAGTGGGCATGGCGGTCGGTATACTGCTGACCACTTTTCTGATCATAGGTGAGTATGGCTTCCCAGATTCAAGGACTTCTGGCCTCAGAAATGTTAGCTCATCTTAGGGGGTGATCTAGTAGCTACCCAAATGGCAACTTAGACATTAACCGAAGACACAGATCACCAGTCAACCCCCTCATACTTTCTTGGAAAACATTGCTTTGGAACTACCTTTTACCTATCATGGTTTCTCGATTGATAGAACAGAGTCTATTCCAAAGAGGCTTTGTGTTAATCAGGTTTTCTTAATGGTAACAAATACCTGACATAATCAAGGTATACAGAGAAGTGTTTGGCATAATGCATCGTGGTTTCAGAGGTCTCCATCCATGACTGATTGACCTGTTGCTTTGGGCCTGTGGAGAGGCCGCACCTCATGGCAGGCAGCACGTGGCAGAGCAAAGGTGCTCACTTTGGGGCTAGGAACAAATGAGCCTTTAAGGGTATTCCCTCAAAGATCAGAAGCGGGCCAACTAGGTCTTAAACTTTCTACCTCTTCCACATAACACCAACCTGGAGACCAAGCACCTGGTCTTTTGGGAGACACTCAGATCCAATATATATATATATGTCTTATTTTTTGTTGGTCATGGGGCCTGAACTCTGGGCCTGGGCACTGTCCCTCAGCTCTTCAGCTCACCATTTGAGCTACGGCACCACTCCCAGTTTTCTCTGTTAATGTGGTGCTGAGGAATTGAACCCAGGTCCTCATGCATGCAAGGCAAACACTCTACCACTGAACCACCTTCCCAACTCAAAATGAGAATGTCTCTCTTTTTTTTGTTGTTGTTGGTTGTGGGGCTTGAACTCTGGGCCTGGGCACTGATCCTTGGCTCTTCAGCTCAAGGCGAGTGCTCTACCACTTGAACCACAGCACCACTAACTATTTTATATATATATATATATATATATATATATATATGTATGTATGACTTTAATCCATGGCTGTGTGTTATAAGTATTTTAGGTTTATTATCTACCTTTTCCCTTCAAAAATATTATTTTTAAGTAGTGCACAAAAGAGTTGCCATTAAACAAAGCAGTTTATGAATACTTTGCATGAATACAATGTGCATGAATACAGTTTATGAATACAATGCATGTTGATCCTAACTGTTATATTTTAAGCCTCAATGCCAAGCTAACATGATGAGGGAGAATGAAATGCAGTTGCTATGACCCTGCTATACATCTGACATGGGGCTTCAGAGTGCAGACAGTGATGGGCGAGATCAGCAAAGATCTTTCATCCGTAGAGGTCAAGGTCACAGAGGTCATGGTCTCAGCTGCCAGGCTTGGGATGGATAGAACTTGACCTTCCAGTGGAGTTGTTGATATACCTGACATGTTGCATGACTTTCCTTTATATATTTTTTCAATGGTGGTTTGTAAAGCCTGTTACTTAAGCCAAGATTCTTCCTATACATTTACTAATAGGTAATTTATTTTAAATAATGAACTCCCTTTTCCATAGAGGATAGCACAATCAATCCTCAGATACATAATATATTTTTTGTAAGAGTTAAGAGGCAAGAAACAGTCGTGATCTTAAGCAGTCTATTCAAAGTTCCTTAGATGTGGACACAATGAAAGTAGGCTTTAGGGAGGTGAACAGGTCCTAAGAGGTCTCTGGCTGTTCTGGTTGGACTGCTGGCTCTGGGGAAGGTCAACTGAGACTGTGTGTGTATGAAGTTCAGAAACTCAGCTGCTTTCTTCTTGGAAGGCAGAACTGTTTGCCTTGAGATAACCTTGGTGGCAACCCCCAGGTTGGAAACCGTTGGGACTCCATGCCATACTGATACTAAGTGATAAGCTTACTTATCCAAGTCAGCCAGCGCCGAGGGTCCCTCCTTCACTTGAACAACTTCGCTGAGCCACAAACAAAAAATGAAGCAACATGAGTCATTTTTTCCTCCCAGGACATTAGTTTATAAGTGACCGTGACAGTCCATTTGAAGATTCCATCTCTTTGACCCTGGGTTTTCTCTTGTAGGTATAATTTTAGCAGTTGTGTTTATCCGCATAAGGAATGATAAAAGCAAATGTAATGTTGAAAACACCCAGTCACCTGAAGCCACCCCTCTGAGACGCTGACTTTGAAGAGAAATGGTAGAGTTCATCCATCAAGTGCTACTTCAGCGACCAGCTGCTTCATTTCATAATTCTACTTCCCATCCAACATGTGTTCTGTAATTTTTTTACAGCGACTCCCTCTTGCCCTTTAATATTTTATCACTCTTAGATATTTTATGTGCTGTAGACATTAGAGATATTTTGTATTTTCCCATGACATTGTTTTCCCTTTTGCCAAAGTTTTAGCTATTTAACCCAAACCAAAAATATGTATTTTCCCCCTTTGGGGAAACAATGAGCTGATTAACTATTCTGTACATGTCTGCTTCATTACAGAGATGCAACAGTTGTCTCCCACAGAACTTTCTGGATGCTGTTTATGATTTTTCTCATTCCATCTTATGGCCCCTCAGTCCATAGCTCACTGAATCCAGACCATTTGTCAGGCTAAAGAACAAAGTGAGCTCTCAGAAAAACAATACTCAAGCAACCTGGTCCCTTAGGATGGGTAGAAACTGTTCTAGGTTGCTGTTAATCACTTTTATCCCAGTGTGGCTGAGGTGGCTCTTCCATAGAGGGGCTCCAACTTGGAGATGATGCAAAGCCCTGCATGCCTCCAACACAGTTGCTGTTTTCCTGAAGGTCAACTTCAGAGGCCTAAGCATAGACCTGCAGCTGCTTGGTCCACTTATTACCTACCATGCTTACATGCTGCGCATGTTACCTTTATGTGTATATTAATAAAGCCTTGGTTGTTATATATTTAATGCATGAGGAAAAGAAAGAAGCATAAAAATGGTGACCAAAACCGAGAATAAAAAATGTCGTTGTTGTTTATATTTCCCCAATCTCTTTGCTGTTTCTTTTCATTTGTTAAAGGAAAAGGACCAGAAAACAATGGTTCTCTACTCTTTAGAGTTTCCTACCTGCCCTGTTATACAACCACCCACCCAGGAAGAAGATCATCAATAAAGAAAAACCACTAACTCCTAATGTCTGTTTTTAAGACCACAGTCTTGTATCTTATTACACTGTGCCCCACATGGCTTTGTCTTTTCACATAGTGTTCATTGAAGCCCCATAAGGGATAAGGGTCTCTCCAGGATCATTTCATATTTAAAAAAGCAATGCCAAACTAAAACACAGTGGCCCTGAAAGTTATTCCTTTAGCCCAAGAGAGCTTTCAACTAAGAGCAGTCTGGGTTCCTGTGCCCGTACATTGGAACCTGCACAAACCTCACGGTGGAGCCAGGGTGAAGAAGCTGGTTGTGGTCTCAGGTGGGCAGCCTCCCCTGGTAGGAACAAGCGGCAAGCCTCTGTTCATGTTCTCAGCTCTCAGAGTATCTTGTCATATGCTTACAGAGATGGCTATTTCAGTAAATACCACTGGGTTATTCAGACCTTTTTGCTGCCGCAACCAACCACCTGGGAGAACAATTTTAGAGAAGAAGACGGATTTAGCTTGATATTTCAGAGCTTTCAATCCGTGCTGGCAGGGGTGAGGGTGGGGAGGTGGGGAGGAGAGGTGTACAAAGGCAGCTTACATTACAGCTGACAAGAAGGAAAATGGAAGAGTAACAGGAAGAAGCCCATGAGAAGACACAGCCCGCAAGGACACCTCTCCAATGACAAACTTCCTCCAACCAGGCTCCCACCTTCTTTGTCCTACCACTTCCTAAAAGTCTATCCAGATTTTGAATCCATCAGATTTAATCTCTGGAAACACCATCACAGACACACCCAGAGATGTGTTTTACTCATTTCCTAGGTATTTCTCAAGCCAATCGAGTTCACAGTCAGCATTCACCATCACAATCACTGACAATGTAAAACCAAAAAGGCGCGTTATAATTTCCATTTTATTGATTTTTCTGTGTTTATATTTTTACACAGCCACGTGCTCCAAGCTTTGTTAACCATTTCAGAATGATTTCCTGAGCATCTGCTGTGTGTTAGTCATTTGTAAGCCATCTGGGCTCTTATAGAGGATGTCCCCTTGAGAAGATGGGTTGTTTGGAATTTGGAGTAAAGGGCTGTCTCAGAATTGGTATAGTGATTTTGACATCTAATGCCTAACTCATACTTGAGGCCTCCATGTACTATCTTCAAACAATCACTAATTTCTTTGGACTGAAACCAAGCCTGCCTTTCCCATATGTTTGTCACGCCGGAAGAGCCCCGCAGAGAGGACAGTAAGGCAAAGGACAGAAGGTCAAAGGAAGAAGGGGTGGGCTGCTAAAGTCAGTGCTCATCTGACCGAGAGAAAGCATTTTCATTTTTTCCATTGCAACAGTTGGTTGATGTGTGAGTCCGGGAGCGGAAGGCTACATTTGGAAGAAGAGAAGAGTAAGCACAGGGGACATGGGAATAAAAATAGCCCATGTGTTTACCCTGCATTTTTCAGTTACTCTTTTGAATTAAGCACAAGACTGAAAAGAAACAGAATATATTTTTGGTAGGAGACAAAACTGGGCCTCTTTGGCTTCTGGTCAAGAACAGATCCGAAAGGCAGAATTTCTTAGGGCTTTGCTCAGGAACAACCCAAGTCCACCATAGCCTTGGTTCACAAGAGACAGAAAGAACCAGGGAAAAGGTCTCTCAGTGGCCAGGTCAGCTGTAGGGTATGAAGGAAAGGCCTTGGTTGAGGTTCTGTCTTCTGCATTGAGATTGCAGACAGTTTTCCTGGGACCTACAGAAGGAGAGCGCAGGATTTCCCTGTAAACCATATGGATACTATTGAAGGCCTGACACAGTTCTTGTTGAACCTTGACACTCTGAAAGAGCTTCTTCAGGGCTTAAGTTCTTCCTAGATGTTTGGACATCCTCTCAGCTCAGCTTCTTTAGCAGGACCACCTTTGTAAAGGCAAGAAACTGGAAAAATGTTCCTTGGATCCAAGTAGGCACCAACCTGGTCAACAAGCCTTACCAAGTTAGATGGCCCTCCATGAAGCAAAAGCCATGATAGAAGATAGATAGACACAGACAAGAGATTTATGGTGGAGAAGGTCTGTGAAGGATAAACAGGAGAGAATAGGAGTTAAGTGGTAAAGCCTCAGACCATCTCATGATGAGGAACAAAGATTGATAAGAGTCTCAGGCCATCATGTAGTTCTGAGGAAGTCAGAGTTGGGCTAATGAGAAACCTCAAGCCCAGTTAGACTGTTGGGGGTGGGCTGTTACTACTCTGGCTTTGACCCAGTGATCCAGTGCAGATTCCAGTGTGAGGGTATAGCCACTGTAGTCACCAGCCAGCTCCCCAAGTGTGATTCTTTTCAGGGAAGAACTGAGCATGTGCCCTCTGGATATTAGATCATAGTTTACGTCCCGCTTTTCAATTGATTTGTCATTTGTTGAGCCTTATTAAAGCCAGATAACAAGCTGGCCACTGCGTACACAAATAACAATAACTAATAAGTGTGTATCAGTTACCATATGCCAGGCCCTGTTCTAAATGCCTTCTAATATGTTAAGTCAATGAATTCTTAAGACTGTGAAGATGTAGAGAAAATTGATTTGTCTGTTGTTCAGATGAGCAACTGCTACACAGGAAGGTTAACTAGATAGCCAAGTACTGACTGACTCCAGTAGTGATTCTTGAAAACCTATGCCTAAAGCTTTAGTATTTCATTTAATCTAAGGCTCTCCTTATGATAAGAGATGTGACCATAAGAAAGATTATGGAGGGATTCTCTTGTTTCCATTTCTTGGAGTTCATTTTGATAAATATCATTTTATATGATCGTGTGCACATAGCTACTGAGCAAGAGGTGTTTTTTTAAGCTTCGTTGTTATTTTTGTTTTTCTGTGCCTTTTGTCTTGTTTGTAAGTTTATCTGTTTGGGGGAGGGGAAGTGGGAAGCACAGAAATGGTTGGACAAATTATGAGCAAATATAGCAGTGATGCTCACTAGACACTATCTGGAAAATGAACTATGCAAGTTTTGAGGATGAATGGAAAGGAAAAACTGGGAGAAAAAGAGTGAGGGGTGACATTGTCCAAAAAGAAATGTACTCATAACCGTAATCCCTCGGTACATCACCTTTATATTAACAATAAAAATAGAAAAGATCATGAAGTCAGGTGCCAGTGGCTTACACCTGTATTCTTAGCTACTCAGGAGGCTGAGATCTGAGGATCCTGGTTCGAAGCCAGCAAAAAAAAAGAAAGGAAGGAAGGAAGGAAAAAGAAAGAAATAAGAGAGAAAAAAGAAAGAAAGAAAACATGGTCGACAAACTTCAACATTAAAATGCATGCCCAATTCAGAGATACCATAATTCAAAGGGAAACTGATGATTATCAATCAGTGGTGCCCACGTGTCCTTCTCAAGGACTTCACAGCTGGACAGGAGGACAGACTTCAACATGGCTCCCATGTGGGAGGTATCCAGTGGCATGGAGAGAAGCGCACGAGCGTCTGCTGTGTCAGAGAGGAGGACGCTGCCACTGTGAGACGGTCGGGAACCCCTCATACAGAAAGTGGTGCTCAGTGCGAACTTAGGGTGTCTCCAAATAGAAAGGAGAAGGAGGAAACGGAAATTTTGCACATTCTCGGGGCCATGGTTGATAATAATGATGCTGATATACTATGACAGTAGCCAATAGTAGCTAAGAACCCGCTAAGCTCTAGCCAAGTGCTTGGCACTGTGGTAAGGGCTTTTCACATATCCTCACCTTTAACTCTCACAGAAACCCTAAGAAAGCCCTGTGATTACACCTATTTTATAGGAGAGGAACTTGAGGTTCAGAAGCTAAACCGATTCACTCACAGCACACTGGCTAATCCAGCTCTCGAATGTTCAATGTGATACAGAAGTGAGTTAGTAACAAGATGTGTTCAGTGAAGTCATTCTTGCCCACTGGACTCTTCACTGTCTGGGAGAGGCCTGAGTCAGGGCTGGACAGGGTCAAACATGGGGTTGAGGAGAGACCTTTAGGAATCTCAGCTGGTGCTGAAGTCAGGCTTGGGTGATTGATAGGTTGGAAGGTTCTGGAAGTGTCGGCACATGCCTGGAATCTCTGAGTCATTGCAACCGTTCAGTATTTGCTGAAAGTTCACTCTGCACAAAGGTCCATGCTGAATGCCAGAAGACTATTGAAGGAAGTCCTGGCTGAGCAGCAGATGTTGAATGAATGAAGTATAACATTAGGGTCTTTCACTCGTTTGTCCCGCACAACCCCACCCTCCCTACTTCTGGACCTCTTCTCCTGCTTCTGTCCCATTG